TGTTTTCTAGCATCCTGCCATGAAACTTCTGTATCTCGCTACCTCCCCACCTCTCATTTCTGTGTTCTGCTGTGAGGGTGACAGAAAGAACTGTGGATCTTCTGCAGATGTTGCCATGGAAACCTTAACTACCCCGTTTCACTTTTGACTGTGGGAACATACTGCTCATTTGCTGGATATAAAGGTCAGGGGTTGAATGTAGAAAGACAGGACAGGAAGTACATGTATATAACCCGATTAGCTCTCTAACTGTTCTTCTTCACTCCCTCTCTCTCTTTCTGATCTAACATAAACACTGTTCTTTGTGTTCCTCATAAAGGTCTTGCTGCAATCTGATGAGCTTTTGCTCATTGCGGTAGACAAATATCTGTTTCCACTGCCTGGCTAAACCTGATGTTTTGTTATTCAGATCTTAGCCCTGCATCAATTCCCTCCTTACCCCCGGTCATAAACGCCCACTCAGCATTCTCCACACCTGATCTATCATCCTTTACAAAGAAATTATCCACTAAAGCTTCAGCAGGGAGGCCCGTTACTCTCGAGGTGAGAAGTATGAGGCTTCAGCAGCAGCTGTAGGTGGGAGTCCATTTTTAGCAGAGGACACAGATGAGGGACAGGTCAGGTCATTTCCCAGTGGTCATAAATGGAGCCATTAGCAGCCCATTTCAGTTAATATAGACGTAATGAAAACAACATGGCTGCCACACACACACAAACTCCTGTCAATAAATCTACATCATCTCCCTTTGGTGAATCTGAGTGTGTTAGGATTACGAGGTAAGCACTGCTCTGTGATGGGCTTGATTGCTTGTGCCTCTTGGGAGTTGTCCTCTTTTTCCTGTCATCTCTAAGTGTGTTGGGGGATTTCTTAAAATGAATTATTCTAGATGGTGGCCTGACCCACCCAAATCCTATAACCGCTCTTGTAAAAACCATCAGGGAAACTTATGATTTAGAGATGGTTGGAGATGTTTGTGGATATTAGAGGCTTAATAGTGATTGATGGCTTGCAGCTGGCAGAGCTCATTAGTATTGGATTACACATTTCTCATTAGTGGTGTATTAGGCACATCTAGCTGTCACGGATTGACAAATGATAGGAAGGTTCCACTCCGCTAAGAAACGTCAAACATAAGCCACCAGCCAAATTGTGCAATGGAATCTAAGAATCAATCCCTTGTTTATTTAGTTTTTTGTTTTCAGTTTTTATTTTTACCATTGTGCCCTTGAGCAAGACATTTAACCGTGACAAGAAGAGGTGGGAATTATTTTTTGCACTTCATGATTTAAATGAATTTTGATTCAAGATTCAATTCAACGCATCTCATTGCCTAAATACTGTACTATGACTGTTTCATCACCTGTGAACGACACCCTGAACAGAATACAGAGTTCTGTCACTCAAATTTATTAAATGAAACTGTATTTTCAGTTTTTTTGGCTTAATGAAAAGAATAAAATATTAATTTCGGTCACTAAACTTAAAGGGATAGTTCACCAAAAAATGAAATTTATCTCATCACTTGCCCTTATGTTGTACTAAACCTGTATGAGTTTCTTTCTTCTGTTGAACACAAAATAATATATTTTGAAGAATGTTGGTAACCACCACACAGTTGCTGGTAGCCATTGACTTATCGACATAATATTTTTTTAATCAATGGAAATCAATGGCTAACAGCAACTTTTTGGTTTCCAACATTCTTCAAAATATATTATTTTGTGTTCAACAGAAGAAAGAAACTCATGCAGGTTTGGAACAACATAAGGGAGAGTAAATGACAGAATTTTCATTTTTTGTTTAACTATCCATTTAATTTCTGTAAGTGTGAACAGGTCTTTACTATAATGCAAAATTACAACTGATTTGAGAAACCGTTGCGGTCATGAGTGAATCTTTTATTTTCCCCGAATTGTACTGTACTGTAAGGCACTGGAAAGAATCTACAAAATGACAAATTAGTTGTAATTGGCAATTAGAGAGGATGGATCAGCATGCCTGCAGTGTAGACTCTCTCTTGTTACTAGGCATTTTTAGGTATCTTGTTTACATTATAATCTCATTTGCTTCAGCACTGGGTAGTGTTTAACAACATAAAGGTGTTATTGTTTTTCCCTCCAGTAAGAGAAGTTTAGCGCAGTTGTACAGCAGTGAGTAATTTCAGGCCCATTGAACGCTCAGAGCTGTCTTGCATTAGTGTCTAATATTGTGTAGTTCTATGTATAGTTCTGATCCCGGTTCATCCATGTCATCATCTTGTTCTTCAGATCTTCAGTGAGACAGGCTGGTGTTTATCCCTCATGTCCCATGAAAGAGTTCTTGGACCAGGATGAGTCTTGAGATCGGAAAGCCTCAAAGGCAATGAGTGGCCTCACTTTTTTTTAATAGAACCAGTGAGGTTCATGTAATCTTAACAAACAGGCAAGCATACACACACACACACACCTTCAGTGCTCTGTTTGGACTGGATAAAAGCCTGAATGCGGTTCTTTCATGTCGGTCCAGTTCAAGCGATCTTTAGCGCCCTTCATTTTCACAAGCAAGGCTTAGACCGGAAAACACACACACCGGCCGTCCTAACATTCATTTGATCAAACTCTTCTTCTTTCTTTCTCCTTTTCCTCCTTGTCCTCCTCCCCTTTTTTTCTTATCCTTCCATCTTATCCCCTGCTCTTTCGTGTCTTTCCTCTTCTCTCACTCTTTCTGTCTGTTTCATGGTCTAAGCTGAGCACAGTGGGTAAATCTGCAGATCTGCTGACAGCTGCCTTTGAGAGAGGCCCACAGAAGGGGGGACGAAAACAGCACAGAGGTGCACAGACGAATAGAGCTTTGATTTTTGAGTTGTTTGAGTCCGTGGACTTGGGCACAGCATTACATTACATTACATCAAATAAAGCTGTCGGCCCAAATTACATAGAATTGTGAGCAAATACCATTTCTTAAGGTCATCTTTATTTCCTGTTTGGTTTGTTTTTAAGTTTGAGAAAGGGATGTGGTTTCTGAAAGGTCAGTTTGCCCTCTAGTTAGTTTTCTCGGTGTCTGGCTGGTCGTCTGTCCTCTCTGCGGTGAGTGCTGCTTAGTCACTTGCTGATCCTTCTCTGGGTGGAACAGTAACACATCAGTCTTTCTCTCACTCTCTCTTTCTCTTCGTTTTCCCATGTTCTCTTTCTTTCATTCATCCTTTCTTCCTGCCTGTCTTTGTTTCTGCCTACTTTCCTGCCTGTTTTACTTCCTTCTGTACTTTTTCTTATGCCTATACTTTTTCTTTATGTCTGTACTTTTTCTTGATGTCTGTACTTTCTTTCTTTGCACTGGAAACTCTTGTCACCAAGACAAATTCCTTGTGTGTGTAAACACACTTGGCAATAAAGCCTTTTCTGATTTCTTAATTTTTTACCTTTGTTCCCTCATTCCTATCCACCCAAAAATCTGCCCACTTACATGCTATTCACTTTTTGTCCTTCCTTCCTTCCTTCCTATGCACGTACTTATCTGCCTACCTTTCTTTACCCCTAACTTCTTTCTTACCTGTCTATCTATCTGCCTACTCACCTTCTTCCTTTTTTACTTCCTTCCAGCCTGCCTATGTAACAGACTACCTGTCTACCTACCCACCCACCTACCTACCTATCTACCTAACCTCATTACTTCCTTTTTCCCTTACTTCCTCCTTGCCTACCTATCTGCCTACCCACCTTCCTTCCTTTTCTACTTCCTTCCAGCCTGCCTACATAACAAACTTCCTTCTTTTCTGTCTGCTTTCCTACCTTCCTTCCTGTCTGCCTACCTAACTGACTTTTCATACCGACCTATCTAGCCACCTTCCTTCCTTTCTTCTTTACTTCTTTTTCACCTGTATCTACCTATCTGCCTACCCACCTTCCTTCTTTATTTCCTTTTTACCTACCTACTTAATCTTCTGTCTTGCCTGTCTGCCGACTCCCCTTCCTTCCTGCTTTGCTTCCTTCCTGTCTACCTACCTAGCCACCCTCCTTACTTCCTACCAACTTACCTACCTAACTACCTTCCTTCCATTCTTCCTCCCTTATTTCCTTCTTACCTACCTACCTATGAGCCCACACCACTGTCCACCTGTCTTCTTTCTTTCCTTCTTTTCCAGTCTTTCATGAGGATATTCTGATTCTCTTTGTCATTGGAGTTGTGATTATCATTCTCCTCACTATGTGCAGGAGATGCATGCTACAGTGGAGGAAGCCCATAGGGCTTTATGCTGGGTGGTGGTGGGGGTCTTTTGTACAGAGGGCCACTCTCTTGAAAGTTTGACTGAAAAGGGCTCATTCAGTTGAGCAGGACTGTGCCTGCTGCCTCCTCCCTCTCTCTGGCCGTGGATCATTGTCAGGCCTGAAAGGAGCTTTGACCAGTTCCAGACGACTGGTTCTGCACCATAAAACTCCACAACGTTGTGAATCCATTGGCATATCCAAGGGCATTTTGGGATTGTCAGACAAGGAGGCAGTCAGTAAGTTAAGCAACACAGACGGTGCAAGACAGACAGAAAAAGCAGCCCCGGCACAGTCAAACAGAGAGACAAGCCTACCAGGTCAGGCTGAAAGACAAGCCAGACAGACTGATCACTCATATGCAGCACAAAAGCTAGCATTGAGCTTATGTGATAGTGTTCTCTACTGTATAGCTGAGCGAAGACTTGTATATATATGGTTGTTTGTTTCTTTTCATACTGCAGATGTCCATGTTATGGATAGTATGTGATAGGCTCCAAAGATAGCAGTGTATAGGTTTTAAAAAACCTTGCAGCAAAGGGTTTATTATAGAATCTCTGCCTTCACTTTGCACTTAACACCCTCCTCCACTCCACACATGGTCACACTCTGTGAAAGCTGGCTGTGGTTATCACGGTCACCCTTCGCCTGTCCTATGAGTTTGAAAAATGAATGTGCTTTTGAGTGCTGAACTTGCATTATCCATGAATCCAAGTTACTTTGGAAACCCTGAACTCCCATTTTTCTCTTTACTGCAGGGAGTTCCTCAGCTACCCTGTGCCAAGGCCATATACAACTATGATGGCAAAGAACCCGGAGATCTCAAATTCAGCAAGGGTGACATCATCATCCTGCGCCGACAGGTGGATGAAAACTGGTACCATGGAGAGATGGGCGGAGTCCATGGATTCTTCCCCACCAACTTTGTCCAGGTCATCAAACCTCTCCCACAGCCACCCCCTCAATGTAAGGCCCTGTATGACTTTGAGCTGAAAGACAAGGAGGCTGACAAGGACTGCTTGCCATTTTCAAAGGTGCTGGACATCTACTCACTGTACAGACTTCAACCTTTATCTTTACTCTCTCATTCACATACACCGTCTCCCATCACAAGTTCAAAAACAAATGGTAACACGTTACCATAAGTTAATGCATTGGGTGTCGTAAACTAACAATGAACATTTTTGCAGACTTTTTTTAGATTCCCCCATGGTCACTATTCTTACTTTGCATGGAAAATAATTTCCCTTTTGTATGTTCCACTAAAAATGAGCATAATATAGGTTTGGAAAGACATGAGGGTGAATACTTTTGGGGTGAGCTGTTGGAGAAGCAAAAACATTTTCTGCTGCTTGCAACATAAGTGTTGATCCCCTTGAGTCATTTGTTTTTTGGATAGATTTTTATAAAAAAACAAAACAAATGCCTGGCTTTCATTGATGCCTTCAAGTTTTTTTTTACTTTTTAACAACTTGCTGGGAGGGCTTCTGGCTGAATAACAAGGAATCAGTTTTTTTCTGTCTGCCCTCAGGATGATATTCTTACTGTGATTCGTCGTGTGGATGAGAACTGGGCGGAAGGCATGCTGGGAGATAAGATTGGCATCTTCCCCATATCTTATGTAGAGGTGAGTCATATCAGTGCATTTAAAATTGTTCCCTGATGTTTTCACGTTTAATGTTTTATATTTAGATTTGTACTCTTCAACTTTTGTCTTGGAAACCTTCAAAATATTCTCCACCCTTTTCAGAATTTACTCTCAAAAGTATCCTTTGTTGCCATTTTTGTTGCTGTCATGTCCTGTTTATATGGCCAGTCTTTTATGGGGGTAGAATTGTTGCATTATTCCAAATAAATAGATTATGATCCACAAATAAATGTAAAGAGATTTACAAAAAATTAAACATATTGACAAAAAAAATAGAATGAGATCCACAAATAAATTTCAGAGTTTCACAAACATTAAAATTCACAAATAAATAAAAAAACATATTCACAAATACATTGTCACAAACACAACTTTGCCTGCCATTTATTTGTGAATCGCGTCCTGTACATTTGTAGATCGCTGCACGCATTTGTGGATCGCTCGCTGTGCATTTGTGGATTTTGAAACATTTCTAGTGTCAAGACGCTGACAATCCACAAATGTATGGACTCCACCCACCGTCTACTCAAGCCAATCAGATAACAGCCACACTTCGCTGACCAATCATAGCACGTTCTCGCTATAACCAATCACGTTTTGCTTTACAATCAGGGCGGTCTCTTCCTGAAATAACTTAATTCATAATATGCATTGGCTCAAATAGGAAATACAAGGGCCATAAAAATTTAGATGGTAAAATATGTTTAAAATTGGATTTAGTTAGATCATTAGACTGTGTATCAAGCCAAGCCACAGTATATTTTACATGCCTTTGAAAATGCCAGAGAAACGGCACTTTAAATCATGGCTATGGGAACAATACTATACTGGATACAAACGCGTTATGGAAGCGTCATTCAGGATGGAAAGAAAAGCGTCAATAAGTAACTGACTAATAAATTACTGGATTCAACCTCATGATAAACATGCGAGTTTGTTTAATAGGTTAAATTGCTGTCACACAACAGCCAACATAACAGCGTTTTTCTGTGAAGCAATTTGGATGAGATGGATATGGATATGAGCAGCTATGTGGATAACGATGTATAGCATTATAAATAATATTTTCAAACATTAAAGTATTACAAAGTTATTGCCATTGTTTGGGAAGGGAAAAATATAGGTGGGTTCTTTTTTTAAATGCGTTGCAGGTGTGTTGAAAATAAATGGATATAAATGTGAGACAAGAGATATTTATTAGTTAAAACACTTGATCACGCAAAAAATATTTTATATGAATCAGACTTACTAGTTTTGGTTGTAAAAGTTACTTAACAGCATCCAAAGTAGGTTTTTATTTACATTGTCCACTTGCAAAACCCCAGTACTACATGCTGCAGTGATGCTGAGACAGGTACCCAGATGGTCATTTTGGCCCATAATTGATATTATAAGTGTTATTATGCCCTATATATTTGTTACCGCGATTGTGCTTTAAAAGGCTAAATAAGCCATGCCATGTCTTACATCGTGTCTCTGCTTGCTACATGCTCGCTGCATGCTCGCTGCTTCATCGTGTCAGGCCTCGTCCAGAGTAGACAGCATCGCAGTAGATTTCTATTTGCTTTGGACGCGTCGCGAGGGTATTACTGGTGATGCTTGGGATCTGTGAATGATCATAAATTGTGTATAATCCTGAGTTTATCCTCATTCACTGATCCTGATGGAAATATAAAGAAGCCTTACACTCCAACAATCTTTTGGAAACAGGTTTTTTTTAGCCACACAAACAGCACTTCAGCTCAATTTGAACGAAATGTCCATAGAATGCAGTTCCTTACAGGGGTGCAAAATGAATCTGCTCCCGTCCTGATTGTAAAGCAAAACGTGATTGGTTAATAGCGAGAACGTGCTATGATTGGTCAGCGAAGTGTGGCTGTTATCTGATTGGCTTGAGTAGACGGTGGGTGGAGTCCACGCATTTGTGGATTGGTGTGCGTCTTGATGCTAGAAATGTCTCAAAATCCACAAATGCGCGCAGCGATCTACAAATGCACAGGACGCGATTCACAAATAAATGCCAGGCAAAGTTGTGTTTGTAGAATAAAAAGATATTTGTGAATATATTTTTTATTTGCAAGTCTCATTTTTTTATTTGTGGATTTAATTCATGTTTGTGAAACTCGTAAGATTTATTTGTGGATCTCATTCTATTTATTTTGTAAATATGTTTGGTTTTTGTTAATCGCTTTGCATTTATTTGTGGATCATAATCTATTTATTTGGAATAATGCAACAATTCTACCCCCATAGTCTTTCACCCCCGACCATTTCTTTGTTTCTGCTCTTGTTGAAACACACATCTCTTTAAGCATTCAGATCTCTGAGATCCTTCAAATTGTTGCTAATTATTTGGGCTGTATTAAACCCTCATCAGCCTTTTCATTTTTCTGACGCAGATCTCAAAACACGAACAGCCTTGTCTTTAAACACTGCTCTCTTGAATCACTTAACCTCAAACAAGCATAGGCACAATTATCATGGCCAAATTCACGTTGCAGCAGCTTACATCTCACAACACCTCATGTCCCTCATCCCATAAACATAGGCAAAAACCTTTATGAACCCTGGCAGAGCCAGCCACGTGTCTAACCTGTGAGAAAAAATAACCATCAAAAGACATTCAAAAATAGCTTCTGTCAGAATGGTGCTGCTTGAATAGCATCTCTCTCACGCAGATTGAGAGAACGATGGAAGAGAGGGGTGGAGGCTTTGAGCTTACACAAAAGCCCTGGCAATTTTCTCTAAACCAGACTTTTTCCAAGTGAATGCTTTTGAGAAAGTAATCTCTGATACCGGTGACATCAAAAGTGACATTCACTCAGGTGCTTGGAAGAGAGTAACGGGGGAGAAAAGGTTTTTCTGTTCCCATGTCACTTTCTGCCACCATAAATTAATGTTTTCAAAGAGTGACTTGGAAATGGAATCAGGCACGTGTCTTTCTTAGTGGCTGTCATCTATGTAAGGGATAATCAACGGCTAGCCGTGCATTAAAGGATTTTAATGCACAACGTGGAGGCAAAGAAGCCTCCGCGAAGTGCATTAAAATCCTTTAATACATGGCTAGTCGTTGATTATCCCACTTATTCCATGGTCATTTGCCAAGTTATAGACAAGTTAAAACTTGTATTGCACTTTGCAGCACAATATTTGACCGAATGGGTAAAAATGACAGTTATTTCCGACAGCTACGACTCGTTAGCGCTAGCATTCTGCCTGCTTCAAATCAGACACAGAGAAGAAATATTGCGGTAAGACCACATTTATTTGAATGAATTATAGCATGTATTTCAATTAATTATCGATCGATCGAGAGAGAGAGAGAGATGACAGTTGTGTGTCAGTTACCTGCTTGCTGCGTCTGCACATCTCTCTATACAAACAATTACTTCAAAAACAGCGATTTTATCACCTCGTTGCTGGGGAATATAATGTAGCGATCTAGTATCTATCTTTTATTTTAGTAATAAAAATCGCAGTGGAAGCGTTGACAACAAGTTTATGTGTGTGTGCAGCACAATCTGCGATTTCTGACCTCTCTCTCTCTCTCTCTCTCTCTCTCTGTGTGTGTGTGTGTGCGAGCGAGTGATGTGTGTTGGTTATTGTGCATCAATTAAAGCAGCGCATTAATATAGAACGGTGATTAAACTGACTTGGAACTACCTGTGCATTAAACGGTTTTACTGCATACCTGCCAGCCAATCAGAATCCAGTATTCAGACAGACCATGGAATAAGCACTATTTAATGTCTGCCTGAGTTTGCAAGGGTAAAACTGACATATGTTGAGCTGATCTTGAAGTTTTATTACATTTTATTACCGTTGTTCATGTTAGGTGAATCATATGAAGTTACCGCTTGTTTTCATTCTAGGATTTGCTGTAGCTTAAGGTCTAGTATTGTTTGCTGTACTAGTCAAAAGTTTGAGGACACCTGATTCTTCATAAGAAACCAAACATTTGACTGGTGCTGATCCCACATCTGTTTTTTTGAGCATGATGTCTAATTTTCTTGCCAATGTACGCATCTAATTGTTTAATTTTAATAATATTTTCACAAATAATATTACGTATGAATAAATTAATCCATTCAAAGACTGCACCTAAGCACTCTACAGCTGTATTCAATATCTATAGCAGCATTTAATCAGTCTTCATCGTGACCTAGATCAGTGCGTGTTTAGGTGAAGTCTGTGTAGGGTTCTTCATGTGATCGGCTGCTCATTTGTGTAGAAAGTGAGGCGGTTGCTCGGGGTGATGGGTGTTGCTCTGTCATTAGCTGGAGACTCTCTGTTCATCTGCCTTTGATTTCAGTTTCACATGAAATCAGACATGGCCTGCAGTTCCATCACACCCACCGCCCCACATACTGTACACTGAGTCTTTGAACTCTTCCATCACTTTTTACTCATCTCTTCTTGCTTGACACTTTTTTTCCCTGTTGTAGACGGTGAATGTAGCCACATTTAGATTATGCAGATCCAATACTCTCTCATTAAGTCAACTAAATGGCTATTGTGTACAGTATGTTTTTTTTTGTCTTTTCAGTTTGTTGATTAAAGATTCATTACTTTCTCTGTGTACTCCTTATTTTTTTATTCTCTACAAGTACATCACTCCATGTTAGATTACATTTAAAGAAAGTGTGAGAAATGTGGCCTAGCAGTTAATTCACATGCATATTGAGTGCTCATATGGGCTTTGTGGGTTCGAATCTGGTTCGCAGCATTACCAAAAGTCCAAAATTAGATACAATAATGATAATATGTGCTGTGAAGTATTATTTCTGTTCACACTCTCTTCTACTTTCAGTTTAACAGTGCAGCACGACAACTTATAGAACTGGACAAGCCATCTGAAGGTGGAGGAGACTCCAGTGAAGGACCATCCTCCTCTTCCTCGGGCCCCCAGGCCAACGGCTCCCAGAAAGCCACTGGGGAGAAGAAGAACAGTAAGAAGCGTCACTCCTTCACCTCTCTGACTATGTCCCATAAGCCCTGCCTGGCCCCTCCACCCCAGAGACACTCCATGGAGATCAGTGGCCCGGTTCTGATCAGCTCCTCCAACCCTACAGCAGCGGCCCGGATCGGAGAGCTCAGCGGAGGCCTGTCCTCCAGCGCACCTTCACAGGTGAGAGATGATGAATGTATTGACACTCATGCAGCATATCAGAGCACCATATAGCCTTGTGATGGATAGAGAGATTTGGTGATGGGGAAACAGGTTTTGGATGTTATGGAAGAAAGGAGAGGAAGATGATGATTATTTCAGCATGATGGTGGCTGACCTCTAAATGTTCTGTTCCTCATCCACTTTTTCTCTCTGCATGTTATATATACAGTGGGTACGGAAAGTATTCAGACCCCCTTAAAACTCGTACTGAGTGGTGGTAAGGACATAATTTCTCACTGAGGATGAGCTTCTCAGCTGTGTCCATGGTTACACAGCCTGATAAGTTCACATGCACTCACACACACACATACTCCCAGTACAGCAGAATCTGCACAGATGTATTTAAAGATAGACTGAAGAAAGAAGAAAGTTTGGCTTAAATCTGACTCCCTCTAATGCCTTAATTTGCCTTAGAGACATCTTGAAGTCTAGTTACAAAACATATGTGACATGAACACCTAAAACAAGTCTTTTTCTTTTTTAGGTGCCATTATTGATAGTATGCTTGGTTATGGTATGGTTAGTATGATTTATTTCAGGAAAAAAAATTATAATTCATTGTAGGGCTGGGCAATGTAGCTGAAAATTATTTTTTTATATTTTTAACCATTTTGATAATATTCTATACATTTTCTCAGTCTCAATTCTCCATCTCTTACTCTCAATATTCTATAAATGTCGTTGTATACACTACTGTACTAAGTTTGCGGTCAGTATGAGTTTTTCATGTCTTTGGAATTAGTCTCTTATGCTCACCAGTGCTGCTTTAATTTGATCAAAAAATACAGTAACTGTACAAAAATATATTATACTGCTGTTCTGTATAATGTTTTTTGCAGAAACCATGATACTTTTTTTTTTTTCAAAATTCTTTGAATAGAAAGTTTAAAATAACAGCATTTAAGATAGATACTACAACTTTTAACTCAATTTAATATGTCCTTTCTTAATAAAAGTTTTTATTTCTTTAAAATAAAACAGAATTTTCAACTGTAGTGTATGTATTTGCTCTGACATGGTTTAAAAGGGTGAGTTTTATTTATTTTGTTCTTTGTGCCCTTATTCAGAGAAACCATAATTTCAACAAATGTTTATTTTTAAGAACTAAACCAGAAAAATTCAGTGTCTTGCCCCCCCTTACTATAGTGTGACTGTTGCAGTTGCTTGATCTTGACTTATTCAAATTAAATTAGTGCAGTCACAGAGAGAGGCTGTATGTTGATTGATGAAATGGTAACAGATTGTGATTTCGAAACACTTTGAGTCACAGAGAAATTTGTTGTGCTTTTCAAAAAGATATGTGCCCTTTTTATGTTGCTTTAGTAAGATCACTTCAACTGACAATAATTGTTGAGTGACAGTGAAAAATGGCAGGAATGAGGGAATGTGCAACAGTAGTTAAATCACAAATGGTGGAATTTGTCAAACAGCTACAAATTATATCTTGAAGGGAAAGAAAAGCGAGCATCGCGTCAGACATCCTGCCCACACTCCAGAGCTCTGATGCTTGTCCACACCAGCTTACTGTTCTCTCCTGTTCTGTCAGCAGTTACTCTCTCTCATTCCACACAGTCCAACATGCTGTCCGAGCGTTTGAGACCACTGATGCGTGACAGCGCTCCACCACATTAGACACTCCCCCAGCACTCGTTCACAGAGGTTACTGCAGCAATCCTGGAAGGACAGTCACTCATGACAGGCAGCTGTTCCACTGGTTGCCGAGCAATGTGGTCTCGAAGGAGATGGTAGACAGACATGTCATTTCATGTGGATGTTCTGCTGTGGAGGGGGGTTCTAAGAAACTTCCAGGAATGTGACTTTCCCCCCTCTACTTTACACTTTAATTTGTTTTGTTTTTATAATTTTCATCTGATTTAAAGATGTTTTTGGAGTCATTGAGTGTCAGGTTGTTCTGCTAAGGATGAAATGAAAAACAGAATAAAACTGCTAACTACTAAACTACTAAAACCAGGGCTTTAAGCTGCTGCTTAAATGGGTTCCCTAAGCAGGATTGTATTGTTGTGCCCCCCTACCTCAAATATTATGGAAGTAAAAATACAACAACAACAAAACTACTGTAGGGGTCAAAATAGAACTTTAATAAAATATAAAAGTAAATGAATAATTTGTATTATTTACAAATTACAATTGTAGCTCAGTTACCTATGGCTATGACTTTATTAATACAGTTGTCTGATTGATTTTATAGTCTCAAGCATTCAGAAATCAAGCAAAAGAAAATTAAGCAGTTTTACTAAGATAAAACCATGGTTTATTTTTGTAAGGGTTGTGATGTCCACATGTTTTTTGTTGAAGAAATTATAGAGGCTGTGTCATATAGCAAAAAGGTGGCCAAAAATTAAAGATTGAATTAATAAAGAAGTGGATATTTGAATTAAATGTTTGGTCAATAGCCTATTAAACAAGGATTTGATTGTCCTGTAAGTGTAGCAGCAGCAATTACCAGGCCTTTGGCTCCCTTTGCAGGCATTTGTAATAACATGTACATAAATTATTTATTTTGTATTAACCTACATGATGTTTTTTAACGGTGTTATTCGATGAAACCATATAATTATTAATTAACCAATCATGATTGCCTCATTGTTTTTATATAATGCATTTTAAAGGGGTCATATGATGCGATTTCAATTTTTCCTTTCTCTTTGGAGTGTTACAAGCTCTTGGTGCATAAAGAAGATCTGTAAAGTTGCAAAGACTAAAGTCTCAAATCCAAAGAGATATTCTTTATAAAAGTTAAGAGTCCGCCACACCTACCTAAAACTGTTTGGCATTCTAACACGCCCCCACATACCTACGTCACTATGTGGAAAGATTTGCATAACGCCGCCCAAATGTTCACGCAAAGAAAGAAGGCGTAACTTTTATTCTCGCTGTAGTATTGTTGCCGCCGCCACCATGTCATGAAGGCGCTGTGTGCTTCGTTGTGAAAGCGAAACTACTTTGTTTGGCCTTCCAAAAGAGGACGATATCGCTTCATCATGCCTGGAGCTGATCCGTGCTGGTCGCTGAGGAAATACTTCAACTTCGCACTGTGGATCGCCGGATCGGCTTTCACCGTGGACGAAGCGGAGTCCAGCCCGGGGTCGTCACATGTGGTTGCCGCAGGCATCACAATATGGTAAGGGACATAACATTTCCGTCACACGCTTGAGGAATTCGGCCAATCACAACGCACTGGATAGCTGGCCAATCAGAACACACCTCGCTTTTTCAGACCGATGAGCTTTGTAAAAATCGACACGTTTCAAAAAGGCGGGGCATAGAGGAGAAACAATAATGTACAGTATGTGGAAAATAATGTGTTTTTTGAACCTTAAACCGCATAAACACATTTAATTACACCAAATACACAAAATAATGTTCTTTTTAGCAGCATCATATGACCCCTTTAAGTCATTTTAAAGGCTATTGTTGACTTAGGTCTGTTTTTATAAACACAAAAATATTATTATCTTAATACTTCTTTGTAAATTATTATAATATAAATTATAAAACCATGGTTAATTTGCAGTTACCATGGCTACAAGAACAATGATTTTTGGTTTTATTAGTGTTAACACCATGGCTAATTTTCGTAAGGGAACATGGAATCTCGGAGAGAATATTAGATGCGTTGGTGGTGGTGAAATTATTTTCGACATTAAAACATGTTATTAACGTCAACAGCCAAAAAAGTTTCACAGGATTATGAATGTGCCTGAAAGTGATGCACAGGCTTCATTTTCACTTTTTTTTTTTTTTCTTGCTGATGTTTTTTCACGGGCATAGTTGTCCTTCAATGATCATTTGCAATCAGCCGCAAACATGAGGTGCAAGCGGTCGCAGGTGCGGATGCGGGAATGGCGCATCACATATTTTTTTTTTTTTTTTTTTTGAGCAACTGTTTGGGATTGTGCCCCCCTGGGAGTTGGTGCCCTACGCAAACTGCATACTCTGCATATAGGGAGCGGCGATACTGACTAAAACTAATACTTATCACTTAAAATGTGAAAGCTAGTCAGAAAGCTGATATGCTATCAGCCTAGCATATTCCATGTTTGGCTTTGATGCCTTTGTGGTAAATTAAGTCTTATCTGGCATTAGTACAATAGCAAAGCCTAGACAGGGTGTGCAGAAAAGCGGCAGTATAGACATTTATAATCTAAGAAAGTTCTATTTCAAATAAAGTTTTTTATTCATCAAAGAATCCTGAAAAAATTATCACTGTTTCAACAAAAATATTAAGCAGCACAACTATTTTCAACATTGATAAAAAAAAAAAAAGTTTCTTGAGCACCAAATCAGCATATTAGAATGATTTCTAATAAAATAGAAAATAATTGTTTTTTAATCAAATAAATGCAGCCTTGGTGAGCATAAGATACTTAGTTTATATGTTTTGTTTTGTACATAAATGGTCAAGTTTGTGACAGTATACAAACACGAGAAGTATTTCTAAGAGGCCTTGCGCCCCTAGTTGCTGTGACCTGAAACTGTCGGCGAACCAACTTGAAGTGGAAGAAATTCTCTAATTGTTGAACCGATATCTCCTCGCTTCTCATGTCTGTATTAGACTTTCTTTGCAGGTGAATTTGATAGTATAAGAAGCACACTGCTAACTGGAAAATGTTTCTCCCTGATGTTAGTCCCATTAATGTCATCACCTGCCCAAGAACCTCTCTGGAGTCCTCTTCTGTGGGACAAAACACTGAACACACAACAGAAGACACATTATACCTCTGTCGTCTTAGTTTCGGCCTAAGTTAGTTTGTATGCTCTTGGATCCATTTTCGTGTTCATAAAGGAGCGGTTGAGACGGGGTGTTGTGAAAGCTGACCCCGATTCAGTGTTTTATGAGAGTTAATACTTGGTGCTGCAGATGGAATGAGGAAGCATGTGTGGTGGCTTTAGCGAACATGTGTTAACGCTTTAAGAACGTGAGACCGTTCCTCAAG